AAAGTAAAATTAAAATTTTATGACAAAATTAATAACTTAATCATCTGTTATTAATTCTAATAAGGTAATTAGATGTATGCCTTATTAGTAGGGATCGAGGGGAGTGAGAAGTACCATTGATAAGTCATTATTCTTGAACCTGCAGGCATCTCGTTTTTATATGATTTCCTGCCGTGAAAAATTTCCCTATTGGTTAATTATGTAAACTTCATTCATTAATTAACTCAAAATTAGCATATATAATATTCATTTTACCATATGTTTGCAGTTCTAAATAAGTCTATCAATTTCAGTTCTTTTTCCCCCTTTTATTCTCCCTTTTAGGTATTGTTTGGTTGGAGGGGAGGGGAGGGAAAATTTAAAGTTGAGTTTGACTTTTAATACTCCATCCTATTGTTTTTATAAAGCACATACTAGATGGAACATTTGTTTATTTAAAAAAGTCACATTATAGAGAGTTTATTATTATTTTTCAATGTCACCCTTATTAAAAAAATTTAGAGAATGGGAGAATGTAATAATTTTCAATGAATATATATATATATAATATAAATAGAAGTAAAATTATAAATTATATTTTGTTTTAAATAAAATTAATATGGTTAAAGTTAAATCATGTTTCATTGGTTTCCATGAGGCGCTTTGGAGTACAAGGACCGTAGAAAGTGCTTCCTCTAGTCAAATTAAGATATGCACTCGGTGTGGTATCTATCATACGCTACCGTCTAAAAGAATTTTTTGATCCTATTAATGTAAGATATTCCTTCCATCTGATATTTTTGAAGAAATTTTTTTATCCTAAAATGTAAATGTAAAATACTTTGGGTATATTAAAGTTTTATTAAGTGCACTAATTTCAAATTTGCCCTTTCTCTTTCTCTATAATTAATTTCCCTCCATTCTCTTTTTAATATATTAAATGATTAGCATTTTTTAAAATTTGTATTTTTATTTTAAAAAGATAAAGTTGTTAAGTGTATTTAAGGAAGTTTATTAGTATGTGAGATTTTGTTTAAAAGTGTTTTATAATTTGGGATGGGGGGAGTATTGATAAGGACAATAATTTTTTTTTCAATATTACCTTATTTAAACTCATTAATTATTAAAAAGAATGTAATGCAAATGTGAAAATTCTTCATTTAATAAATAGGGATAAAATGAAACTATATTATATTTCAAAAAATTTAATAACTTAGCTAACTCTCATTGGTTACTTGAGGTAGTTAAAAATGACACTAGTATAAAAATTAAGATATATATAACAATATTTATTCAACGGTTATAACTAAACATGTTATATATTGAGAGGCGGGAAAGAGAAAATTACATATTAAACTGTTATTTGTGATAATATTCAATGGTTTATTAATATAATTGTTGAGTATATAAGCAAATTACACTCAACCTCTTACTCAATAGTTAAAATTTAAAAATTATTGAGTATTGATTTAAATACTAAACAAATGTTAAAATTAAACCGTTGAATATATATATGACTTGAGTCAATTAATTTTTATTTTTTTAATATCTTAATACTCAACATTTATTTGAATTTAAACATTGAATATATATATATATGTGTGTGTATATAGAAAAATAATATATATATATATATATTATATAATATTAGAATATATTTTTAGCAAAATAATATACATATTATTCGAATATATATATTTGAGAAATTATTTTTTTATTAATTTTCTTTTAAATTACCTTACGATTATATGAAATAACCATTGAGTATTTGATATTAATACTCAACGGTTGTTTCACTTTAACTGTTGGGTATAATATATTCAATAAGTAAATTTTCTAACTGTTGAATATATTCATTTCTTTTGCTTCTTCTCCATTAGCAAGATTAAATGCATAGCTAGTACAGGGACGCGCGTGAGAGTGAGATGAGAGTAGAGCAAACCCATTTCTTCCGAGGCCTATATCTTGTCAACACTTATTTCCTCTTAGCATCAGCACAATTGCAAGCAAAGAGAGTTATAGTCATTTTTGGTCATTTTCTCTAAGTATCAGTCATAACTGCCACCTATTCCTCCATTTTCCTCTTCTTCTGAGACTCATTTTTGGCCAAACTCTCTTCATCTTCCTCTTCCTTTTCCTCAAAAGCTCCTCTTCATTTTTCTCTTCCTCTTCCTCTTCCTATTTCTCTTCTTGAGAGCAGGTTAGATACATTTATTCTCGCTGTCAATATTGACTAGCCCTCAATCCTTTAGGTTCACCATCTGCCCCTGAAGTTGTCACTATCTCATCCTCTCTTCTATCAAGAGCAGCCTCACACTATTGCTTTGTGATTTTTATGGTAGTTCTCTATCTCATTTTCTATCTCATTATGTAGATGAAGTTGCTGAGGTTGATAACGTTGATTTTGAACTTAGAATTTAGATTAGCTGACTGGATTGGTTTGAGTTTGTGACAATTTGTTGGGTTGTATTGAGATTTAATTGTGATATTTTGTTGATTGATTTTATTATTTCATGCCCCTAGTAGTTTGTTTCTACAAAAGACAAGAGAGAAGATCAGAGTGTTTGGTTAGCCTTTAATTATTTAAATTCTATTCAATATGTGGTGGGACAACCTTGAATAAAATTTAGTAAACATGTTTTTCATTAAGATAAACTAATTTTTTAAGATATTTAGTTTTGCACAAAATTTAGTAAACATGTTTTTAAGATAAAATAATTTTTTCCAATATGTGGTTGTCTTGTGATTATTAAATGTTCAGTTTAATATGCGCTAGGTTTTGATTATTTAGTTTATTAAGATAAATTAATTTTTTATTAACAATAAGATATATGTCTTGACTTAGTAGACATGTTCCTTGTCACTTTTACGCAATGCTTTTCAATTTTTTTTAAATATTGTATTTGTCTAGTTATTTGATTCCTTTTTCTGCCTATTGAGCTTGGAAATTGGACTTGTATCTTTATATATTATAGTTATTATGTTACATGGTTGCTTAACCTTTTAGTTGTTATAGTATTTTGTTCTAAAATTGACCTAAGATTGATCTATTTATATGTTGATTTGAATTTTTTGTTATTTTAATATTGGATTTGTGAAAAGAGGGCATTAAGACTGGGAAGTGCTCAATTTCATGTCGTTATGCTGCTGAAATTTTTTTAAATTTTTATTTTGTGATTATTTAGAACAAGTGTGAGCTTTCTTTGAAGTAGTTTAATAATTAGTTTGATTAAATTAGTATAAATAGAGAATAAGGCTCAAGGAACATTGAATTTAAGTCGTTATGATACTAAAGTTTTTTAAATTTTTAAAATAATCAACTTGTACTCACTGAACGCTTTTCTATCTTTATTATCTTACTTGAATGAGGGCATTAATTATGGATAAGGAGTGGATGTCTACTAACTGTCTATCCAAAGAATATTGGGATAGGGTGACAGACTTTATTAAGTTTGCAGTGAATAATACAGAAAAACGCGAGCAAATTGTTTGCCCTTGTTTAAGCTGTGGTAATGTGAAGTCCGTTTCTCTTGAAATATGTGAACTTCACTTGTTTATGTATGGAATTGATCAAAGTTATAAATGTTGGGTGAAGCATAGAGAGATACCTAAAGATGTGAATAATAGTAGCTAGGCATATATAGAAACTTGTTCATCATCACCGGATTCTGACACAAGTGCATATGAGGCTGATTGATGTTTTGAAGAATTAGCCAATGAGATGGAAGGGGAACTCAAAAATTTTCCAAAGAAATTGAAGAAGTTGAAAATTGATGCAAAGACACCTTTGTATGAGGGTTGTACTGAGTTCACTTTATCGTCCACTGTGTTAAAATTATACAACTTGAAAGCTACAAGTGGGTAGAGTGATACTAGCGAGAAGCTTGCTCTCTCTAATCAGATTAATGCTACCAAAGAATAACAAGCTTCAAAGTCGGCTATATGATGTAAAGAAGGTGTTACACACAGTTGGCCTGAGTTATAAGAAGATACATGCTTGCCCTAATGATTGCATCTTGTTTAGGAATGAAGATGAAGAGCTAACCCATTTTCCTAAGTGTGAGGCATCATGTTATATAAAGAATGGGAAGAGTCCAAAGAAGGCGATGTGGTATTTTTCCTATTATCTCAAGATTCAGGCGCTTGTATAGCATACGTCAAGAGGCAAAGAATCTAACTTAGCATGCATATGGGAGAATTAAAGATGACAAGATTTAGCATCCAGTTGATTCTCCTAAATGGACAAGGTTTGACCAGAAGTACCCTGAGTTCAGAAAAAAAGATAGGAATTTACATCTCACATTATCTACCAATGGGATGAACCCGCATGGAATGTAGAATAGTACCTATAGTATATGGCCTGTGATGATGGTCATTTATAACTTGTTGATAGGAAATTAGTCGCTTATCCTCAAAATTACACTAAAACTAACCCTAATGCAATATAAGGCCAACCCTAGGTCATCTCCCAAGGAATGGTTTTAAGTCTAATTGAAAGTTATCTAGTGAAATAAATCAACCAAAGTTTGTAGGAATTTAGTTACCTAGCTAATTATCTAAACTAATTACCTAATATGCAAGTAATTAAAATACTAGTGAAAGTGAGTGAAATGAACTTCCCTTTTCACAATAATGGAACCCTAGAGATTAGTTGAATTTGGATTCATTATCTTCTCATGATTAGGCTAAGTTTAGCTTCCCTTTCCTCTTGACTAAAGCTGTCATGACTTAAGAAAATTATCCAAAGCCAATTAACCTAATTAGCTAACCTCCCTAGGTCTTAGATTAAAATCCCTAGTTCAATTAACTAATTGGTGAAGACATTAGCCAAGTGATTCACTCAAAATCCTCTCTCAACAGCCATGGTCAAACATATAAATTGAGCAACCACAAGATTATGTCAAGCTACTCAACAACACAAGCATTAACACCATAAGATTATGCAATATTAACACAAGAAATTCACTAATTAAAAAACACAAGATTATGTGCCAAACAAAGAGTGGCAAAATTCAGTCATGGTTGTCCAAAGAAGAAATTGAATGAAACAATCCTCTCTCTTTACATCAACATCAAATTCAAATTAGAATTTATAAGCTAAGATGATTAAACCCTAGATTAAGGAATTTAACCATCTAGTAAAAAGAGAAGAGGATAGGAAACAAAAGAACTTAGCCAATTTGAAGCTCAAGACTCATCCTCCATCTTTATCTCTCTAGGATTTCACAAAGAAACTTAGCCAATCTTCATCTTCAAGAACCTTAGTGATTGCTTGTGAAGGCCAAACTCCATAGCTCTTGAATGATGGAAATGAGCTTCAATCTTTGTGAAAATGGAAGGGATGGAATGAAAATAAAGAGAGGAGAAGAATGGTATGAGTTTTGTGGAGGTTTGGTGACTGAAAATAGAGGTTAGGGTGCTGAAAAATGAAGAACAAAAGAGAGAAAATGAAGAACACTATGAACAAGAGAGAGAGAATGTGGAAGATGAATGAGATCAGTGTTGGATCTCATTTAGGGCTTAAAATGGCATGCTCCTTGGTGTTTCCCATCAGCTGAAGCTTAATTAAAAAAAAAAAAAAGAAATTAAAATGTAAATGGGAGCCTTGTCACACTTGCAAGGTAGCAACTTCCTATTGGTTTGTAGATGATTCCAATGTGTGCCTAACTTCTCATGTGTCATCCACATCATTTAGGCTGATTTAATCCCTCAAAATAATCATAATTCACGTACAAACCATCAGCCATTGATTTCAAGGAGTGTTGACCTCAATTGCCCAATTGATGCACAAGTCACATGCCACCTATGTCACATAAATCACATAATTCAATTAAAGAGCATATGATATAATAAAATTTAATTCATGTCCAAAATTAAATTCATAATTAGAAGGGAGAATTTATTAAATTAACCAAGTTTTAGGCTGCACAAAATTATATAAAAATTTTCACATAAAGCTAAACCAAAAACTAGGACAAACTAAGACACTTAAGAAAGTGTTGACTTTTTTATTTAATTACTCTCAAACTAAAATGAATTTTAAAAATATAATCTCACCACTCATCAAATGGACATAAAATGCACTTTGTCAATTTTTCTTGTACATTTTCTCAAAATTTATTTTTTTGGACCAAAATACCCCTAGTGCACTGAACCTAGAAACTTAAGCAAAATTCCAAATCTAATGCAATGTGTGCACTTGAAGGTGATAAATCATTAATAAAAAGGTCCTAATTGACAAATAAAAGTGGGTAACAAATGTGTTTTATCACTTGCCTCCTTAGCTTTGCATGAAGCGAAAGTATATTATGTTGTCCTTGCTAATCTTGGGGCCAAAGCAGCCTGAAAATGACATAGATGTTTATTTGGAATCACTTATTGAAGACTTAAAGCTAATATAGGGGACAGATGTGTAGGTATATGATGCCTACAGAGAAGAGATATTAAATTTGAGAGCCATGCTTTTTGGTACAATCAATGACTTTCTAGAGTATGGTAATTTGTCAGGATATAGCATTAAAGGACAACTTGGATGCCCTATTTATGAAGAAGGCACACATTCAGTAAGGTTGCAACATGGTATGAAGAACGTGTACCTTGGGTATCACGAATGGTCAGGTAACAAACATCGATATCGTCGTTAGAAAAAATCATTTGATAGGAAATCAGAAGAAAGAAGGGCACTAAAGTAGTTGATTGGTGAGGAATTGTTTGAGAAGGTAAAAGATGTTGATATTGAATTTGGTAAACCATTTGCGAAGCATGTTGGAACAAATGGGTGGAAGAAAATGTCTGTATTCCTTGAGTTGCTATATAGGAAACCTTAAATGTTAGACATTTCCTTGATTTAGTACATATAGAGAAAATGTTTGTGATAATCTTATTGGAACATTGCTTAATATTCTAAGAAAGATCAAGGATGGCATTAATGCAAGGTTAAACATGATTGCAATAGGGATGATAGAAAAATTAACACCACAAGAGAAAGGAACTTGTACATTTCTTCATACTACGACTGATACATTATCTAGAAAAGAAAAGAAAAGTTTCTGTGAGTTTCTTGCTACAGTCAAGATTCCATATGGATACTCTTCAAATGTTAGGATTCTTGTTTCAATGAAAGATCTAAAGCTAAAGGGTTTAAAGACTCATGATTGATGGAGAATTTTATTCTAGTGGCCATACATGGTATTTTACCTGATAATGTGGGAGTTATAATTGCAAAGTTATGCTACTTCAAGTGTCTTTATAGTAAAGTAATTAACACCAACAAGTTGCCAAGGTTGCAAAGTTGAATTGTGCAAACATTATGCCAGATGGAGATGTTTTCCCCTCCTGCATTCTAATAGTACATTTAGTTAGAGAGGTACAATTATGTGGTCCTGCTTATTTGAGATGGATGTACCCATTTGAGTGTCACATGAAAGTATTGAAAGGTTATATTAAAAGTCAAAGTCGACTAAAAGATTACATTATTGAACAATATATTAATGAAAAGGCTGTTTACTTTTGCAGTCAATACTTAAAGAATTCAAGGATTGTTGGTAAAGAATGTATAGAAAGGACAACAAGAAGAAAAGTTGTCACTATCTCAAGTGACTAGTGAGAAAAAGTACACCTTTTTGTGCTATACAACTCTCCAGAGGTTGATGAGTATGCTAAGATTCACCAGGCAAAGCTAGAGAGGTAGAATCCTTATTGATTAGATGGTTGGATCATCAAACTACACGATCAACAATTTATACGCTAGTTGAAAGAGCATACAGAAGGGAAGTATAATGCCGATCCTAATTTAGTTCCTGATAGATTGAGATGATTATCACTAGGGCCGAACAAGCATGTCCTTTCTTACATGAGCTATATTATCAATGGGTATAAGTTTTACATGAAAGAACACGATGATTAGAGCATGATGCAAAATAGTGGTGTATCTGCCATAGCTGATGGCATGTACATTTCCAATGCAAAAGATAAAAAACCCACCTATGCTAGAATGCATTACTTTAAGGTAATTGAGCATATTTGAGAGTTGGATTATATGTCCTTTCAAATTTCGATCTTTGATTGCAAGTAGGTTGAAAATAATAATGGGTTAGATGTCAATGACTTTATGTTGATTAGGGTGAATCTAAAGAAGGAAGGGTATAAAGAAGATCATTTCATTTATCTATCTCAAGCCAAACAAGTTTTTTATGTCAATGATCTTGTCAATGATCTTGTTGATAAGGAATGGTCTATTGTTTTGTGGAGTCACATGGAAGTTGAAGAAATGAAAGTTGTAAAAAGTGATGAAAATGAGTAAAACAAAAAAAATGATGAAGTTGATGTTGATCCGTTTCATGGGACATCATTTGAAAATAATAATGGCTTAGACAATATTAAAGATAGTGCTTTTTACGTAAGACATGATCACAATGAGGGCGTTTAGATTTTTAAGAAGGGGAAATCAATTCAATTAAAGAAGAAAGCTGTTAAAGTTAAGAAAGAATTAGTTAAAAAAGTAGTTAGGACAAGAAAAAGGAAAAGAACGAAATAAATAGGTAAATGACTATTTTTGACTTACTATTTTTTCATTTTGATATTTTTGATTTAATCTTATTAAGATGTTGCTCTTGTTTGAATTATTATTGTTTTATTTAATCTTGATTATTGATGTCTTCATAGGTAAATGACTACTGAGGGCGATCATCTAGATACTAGATCTAAATCTAGTACTCCTAGCAAGTAAAATGATGATAGCAAGTAAAATGTGACTAATAAGGAGGAAAAGCAACTAAAGAAGGGGTTGGTTGTGATGGAGCAGGTGACAAAAGCAAGAAATGAAGGCAAGAAGTTTACTATCAAGTGGAATAATAAAAATCAAGTAGTTGATAGTAATAATTTCATCAGTTATATTAGGGTGGTAGCGAAGTCTTTTGTGCCTATTAATTTAAAGTAATAGAGGAATGCAACTCCCGCAATGAGGGATGTGGTATGGAATACTATAACGGTAAGATATTATCACTTTGATTATTATTTTAAACTTGTTTATGATATATGTTCTTCTCACAAGTTGACTTGTTTATTTTGCAATTGGGATTTGAGATTGAGGAAAGGAGCAAGAAGTATGTCCTATAAAAGATCAAGGTAGCCCTTCAAGCTTTTAGAAGTTTTATCTCTCGTAAATTCTTGCAAAACCCCAATGTGGAGGGCATTGAATACACAGTTCCTCCCCTTATTAGGCTGATTGTAAATTTGAATGAATGGAAATATTTTGTTAACTCATGCCGTAGTCCAGAGTTTAAGGTATTATTTTTATTATTCTATCAAAATATTGTTGCTTTTGTTGGCATTTATTTCAACTTATTGTCATGTTTTGTGTTTTTAAAGGCATTAAGAACCAAAAACAAAGAGTTGGCGAAGAAGAATGAATACACTTTTAAGGTTGGGCATAAGGGGTATGCGGGTGTTGAAAAGGCCTTGATTGAAAAAGAGCAAGTGCTAGAGGGTTCTATATCTCATGGCAAGATTTGGACTGAGGCTTGAAAGAACAAACAAGGCAATATTGATAATCTAAAAACAAAAGCGATTGTTGATACAATAGTAAGTGTTAACGATATAATATTATTAATTATTTGTTTTTACTTATTTACCTTACTTTTATTGCTTCATAGGAGAGCTTGACTCAAGAGACATCAGTAGGCACTCTTACTACTAATGGATATCTTTGAGAAGGTATTGGGGGAATATTGACCATCTTGGTTGTGTTTGGGGCGTCGGTTTTGATGTCACAAAGAAAGAATACTTTAAAAAGGGATACAAGCATTGTAAAAAGACTACTTCTTTTGCTGAGGTTTTAGAACTGAAGCAAGAGCTAGTAGAATAGAAGCAACAGATACAAGCATAGTCACAGCAGATACAATAGCAATCTAAACTTATTGACATGCTATTAAATCAGCATAAGTTACGGCTTCTACTGAGTGGCGCTAGCTGAATGACAGTTGCACAGTCTCATCTCAGCTCCTACCTGAGGTAATAATATTGATTTTCCTAGCCTTATTCATGGTAATGTTATTCATATTATGTAATAATTTTGTCTTGTTAGGGTGAGGCTGATGTTGATTGTTTGGGTGAGGATGGCAGTTCGGTTGCATTGGGACGAATATACAATATTGTTGGCTAAATCATGCTTCAAAAGATTCTCCCTGAAGGGACAGTCAAGGTTTCTTTGAAGATGGCTGAAAAGCCTAATTATGATATATCTCACCTCACTAAAGATGCGAGGACAGTAGTAGATCCTTTATAGCTTTGTAGCATGGCCAGTTCATTTTAAAATATTTTAATGTCGTCCCTAAAGGTATAACATCTAAATTCATAACTGAAATTTATTTGCAGTTGATCTCTAACTATGTGTGTGTGTGTGAAAAACTAGCGTGTTGATAAGCTTGTGGCCAAGCAAGCACCAAAGGCTATGAAGGCACTAACGAATAATAAGTGGAAGAGGGGAAATGATAAGAACTCTGTTAACAAATTCAAGGAGTCCATCACATTTCCCAATAATGCACCGAAGGTTCTCCCTTAAACCCATGTGCCTAAAGCCTCTCAATCAACACCTCAGTGTTAATTAGTTACACCAGACAAGCACCAAAAGTTGCTTAAGACTTATACAAAGATGCAAGAAAGAGTAATGCTCCCTTTCCCTACAACAATGTATGGAGATCCAGAGTCTATCGATCAGGTCAACAATGAGGTTTTAAGTGACTTATTCAACCATGCACAAGCTACCACTACTTTGTATAACTTACATATGATGTACGTTTCTAAAACCTTACATTAGATATTTACCAATATTTATATTTTAGTCATTTATTGATCAATTTATGTTGACATTGTTTAAGAAACTTGTACATCACCATGCTTGCTGGAAGAGATGTAGCAGAAAGGGTTATTCTCATTAGTCCCCACTTGGTCTCTCCTTATGGCGATGAGACAATGAGTCCTAAGTAAGGATTAGAAATAGCTCAAAAGCTTTCTAAATACTTCGAGCAATATGGTGCTAATAAGAACAAAATATTCATGGCACCTTATTGTGAAGAGTAAATCATTTTATGATATTTTACTTTCTTAAAAATTAATTATGACACTTCCTAATTGTAATCATTATCATAGAGGGCATTAGATGATACTTGTGATCAATCCAACTATAGAAAGAGCATGGTATCTTGACCCTATTAGAGGTGGTGATCCTACCAACAGACTGCATATAATAGAGATGATTAATTAGTAAGTTAACTAACTGTTGTGCATATATATATATATAATTTGTTCTTCTTATATACATATTTCTCATATCAACTTTTCTATTGTATCTTAGAGCCATTATCATGTACTGCACTAAGGTCAATCAGCAATCTCGATAACTAATAATGGGTAACGGTCGCCTTGATAAAGCAACATCATGGACAATTACCAAGGTATATGTATTTATCATTTATTGTGTATTTATAACATAAATATAAGTCATATCATGTCATTAACTGATCAGATTTTTTAATCCAATGTGTGATCATAGTGCTTGGAACAACATGACAAAGCTAGGGATTATGGGTACACTATCATGAGATATATGAAGGACATAATTCAACACGCTCCTATCGAGACTCTTCCAGACATATATATATATATATATATATATTGTTAACCTTCTCTTCATTATTTAATATTTTTAGTAATTAACATGACTTTAGTTTGTTGTTTTTGCAATTAGTACTATGAGGATACATATTGTGACACATTTACTGAGGCTCAAGTGAAAGAAGTCCTTGAAGAGCTAGCACGTGGCATTTTTCAAGTGTGGTTTAGCTATAACTACCAGCAACAGTGAAGGAATAAATGATGTTGGTATATATTTAAAGTTGACATACATATAGTTATACCTACTTGGTCAATTTTTTGAAATATGAATTTTTATTTTGGCCACTTATAGGTTTAATTTAAGCTAGTTCACATTGGACATAGCTTACGTAGTAATGCACCATGTAAATTTCATCATTTTATATATAGAATAATATTGTTGGTGTTGAAATTTTGTTATAGGTGTGCTGGATACTATATTTTTAAATGTTCAATGTAGGGGGTTATTAAAAATGTAAAACATGTACAGGAAAAAAGTAACTCAAAATATTCAACGATTATATCTAAAAATTGTTGAATATCTGACATTATATATTCAACAGCTAAATTTTTAACCATTGAATATATTAAGAATATGCAACGGTTTATGAAAAAACCGTTGCATATTCTCTTGTAGTTAAAGAAATCCCGTGGCTATATGTTCAACAGTTAAAATGTATAACCATTAAATATACTAAGAATATGCAACGGTTTAAATAAAAACCATTGCATATTCTCTTGCAGTTATTTAAAAAAAAAAGATCCCATGGCCATATATTCAACGGTTTTGAATAAAAAAACCATTTAATAAAGGTTAAATATTCAACGGTTAAAAACCATTAAATAAAGGTTCAGAAAATATTTAGCATGATTACTCAACAGTTAATAACCGTTAAATATTATCTAAAATAACTGTTGAATATTGTTATTTTTTGTAGTAGTATGACTTATAATAAGGATCAATGGAGTAAGTTACATTTGACTACATACGCAACATAGAAAGGAGTTAAAATTAATGTTGACTAATTTACTCATTAAATTTGTCCAAATAAATTTCAATGCTTTACACTATTGCCTCTATTAAATTCATAAAATTTCCAATAGGTTGCACAATTTCCTTATATACGAGTCACTCATTGAATAATTTTAGCTCTCACTTCTTGAATGTAGTCAAGGGCTAATCAAGGAAAACTAATTAACGTATCAAACATGACTCAAATTAAAAGTGATATATATATATATATATATATATAGTGATTTTGAAGGGGGAAAACTTATAAAATTTGCTAACTTATTTTGATTGGATTAAGTAATATCTATGATACTCCCTCTATCTCAAATTATATAACACTTTTAGATAAAATCTCACATATCAATAAACCTCATTAAATACACTTAACAACCTTATCTTTTCAAAATAAAAATATAAACTTTCAAAAAGCACCCATAATTTAATATATTGAAAAAAGAAGAGATGGAAATAAATTATAGAGGGAAAGAAGGTAATATTAAAATTAATGCATTTAATGAAATCTTAATCTATCCGAAGTGTCTTATATTTTGGGATAAAGTAACTTCTTCAAAATTAAAATGCCCTGTAATTTGGAATGGAGTGGGTTTTTTTTTTTATTGAATATCACTTCATTAAATACTGTGGACTAAATCATTTACACCAACTTTGAGACATCGGTTGGTGTTTTAAATGTTAGTGGATGTAAATGATTTCATACACCTGAATTAATACTGACACTAATTCTATTCATGTAAACGCCATAACTACCTAAGGGTATGCAAAAGTAATAAACAATGCGTGTAGTGCATGTGTGACTGTGTATCAACAAAATTAATGCTTATCCAACTGAGGAAGGATAAGCGCATAATGAATGACAGATGTACGGGAACCAATATATATATATATATATATATCATCAAAAGAAAACAAAAATTGTGCGGATGAGTGTTTCTCTTTGACTTTGAGTTGTGTGAAAGTGGATTGGATAGTGTTTGTGATTAAATGAGAAAAATCACGTCTATGAATTGTTTGAAATCTGAAATTAAAGTCTTTTTTCTAAAAAAATTAGAGTTAAGTCTGTGGGACTTTTTAGAGTGTAAAATATGATGTGAGTATATTATTTATGGACTATAAATATTGCTGCATGTGAATTTTATATCATATACTCCCTTAGTTGACAAATGTAAGTATTTTTAACCAAATCTCGCTTCCAATAAAAATAGTTACCTATTTTTAAACTAATCTTATTTTTCTATACTCAATCCTATTAAACACCTAATAATAAATATAAAGTCATTATCAATACGGGCATTTTTTTTTTAAAAAGCAATGATTATATCTCGAAAAATTAAAAATGCCTTACATTTTTAAACATCTAACTCCTCAAAAAAATGCTTTACATTTTTGAATGAAGGGAGTATAAATTAGATTGATACATACTTATATATTTGAAACCTGTCTTTGGAGAAATTACAATGATCCCTGTTGATCGTGCTTTTATTTTTCATGTAGTCTATTACGTGAGTAAAATTATGATTACAAGTAGTGATTTCATCGTTAAAAAGGCTAGCGGAATAAAATACAAATTAAATGTTGAGAACTTTATTTTGAAACTAAAAAAGAGTTTATTCTGATATTAAAAAAAATAAATTCTGCACATGACATAAAAGTCCTGCTATGCTTTAAAGAGCATAAAAACTACTAAATGTTATGTCTCACACTTCAATGCCTATATAATAAAATTTTGATAAAATATGTTTCAGTTTGATAAAAAGAAAAAAGAAAAAATAGTTTCAGACATTAATTTAAATTTTAACTATATAATTGATAATGTTTTATTGAAAATTCTAATATGGTAGTTATTTTAAAAACAAAACTAAAAGGAAAAAATTATACTTTTCGTTGTTAAGTGTTATATTAAGTTTTAATTTCATTCATAAACTTTAATAACTTTATTTTTAATTACTTAAATTTGAAATTTAATTCTTCACTTCATTATGCAAGCATTTTCGGTTAAGTTAAAAGTGTCAAAAAAAGTTCACTATATTCTCAAAGTTAATAATTAATTTTTTAAAAAAATGACCTTTTGCAAAATTAATGTTTTAAAGTGTCAGTTATTTCCAAACCACTCAGAAAGTTGTTATAACTCTGAAAAGAATTAATAATAAAAAGGTCACTTGCAATGACTTTAGCCTATACTCCCCCTCCCGTATATAAGTTCATCTTTCACAGTAAATTGATAGTTTTATAGGTCACTTTACATAAAGTGATAGACTATTAATTATTCTTTTTTTCAATTTTATTCTTCCATAATTTTTTTATCAGTAAGGTAAAAAATTATATATGCGAGATAATTTGTTTTTAAGGAAGATGCATAGAGGTAAAATTACCCAAGAGGTTTTGCATCCGCAAGTCAATGATAGTAAATAGATCCCCATTAATTTTTATAGAAGAGATCAATATTCCCCGTCTGTTTTTATAAAATTAATGAATGCTCATATAACATTGTTGACTTAATTAAATATATCATAAGCCCTTGGAGCAAAAAAAAAAAGAGAGAAGGGTTTTTAAATATTTTTACACCTCAACCCTAAATAAAAAATAGGATAAAGAAAAACTGAGAAATATGTAGGTTGAAACTAGACCAAAAAAAAATAAAAAAAGGAAACAAGGTGTTATCAGAAAACACAAGTATGGTGTGAAAAACTTGGAAAAACGCATAGAATGGTTCAAAAGATCAGTGAAGAGTCATCACTCACAACAGAAACGTGAGGGTCTGGTTTGAGAAACCTCTAATCATCAATCAAACGAATATAGACAGTGGTCCAAAAAAGTATCACACACACACAGACACACACACACATAGAGACAGAGAGCGACAGAGAGAGAGAGAGATGGAGAAGTCATACCACAAGAGAGAAGAAAGAAGCGAAAGCGATGGTGGCGAATCGACCAGCATAAGCATCAGAGACGAAAGCACCAATGAGAGGTCCAAAGTTAGAGAAACCAAACCATAAACTCACAATAATCGCAGCAGAAACGTGATCCATGTGAAGATCCCTTGTCAGATACACCAGAAAGTTCGCAAGCAGCCCAAACACTGCCAGCCTCTCAAACGTCTTATTCCCTGTAATTAATCAATCGTTCACATGCACACACAGATATATATATATATATATATATAAAATCATTCACAGAAGAGAAAGAAAAGAGACCTAGAATATAAGCAATGGCTTTCCATCCACCACGCTGCTTCTTATCGGTTTCGCGTCGTTCTTCAGCTCCGGCCAAAAACATTTTCCCTCTTGATTCTCTTCCTGGCTAGTTCTCGTTCGCGCTCTGTGTGTGTGTGTGTGTGTGTGTGTGTGTGTGTGTGTGTGTGTGTGTGTAAAGATGTGATGTGTTAATTTTAGGATTGTGTGGGTGTGTTTTGTCGGTATAAAATTGGAGGTAGATGAGTAATGATGTGAGTAAAGCAAAAAAATAATGAAGTTGGGTTCAAAGAGTGTACCCGTAAAAGCAGAGAGAAGTTAATTTAAAAGCGTTAGGATTGAGTAAAGGAGAAGGGATCGAGTCACATACACGCCACTGAATAATGATTTAAATGGTCATAACCAAAATTAATGAAATGAATGAATGACTTGTTGGAGGGACTTATATGGCGGTTGATCTATTTTTTCCCCTCATGATCGCTTTAACCTTCATAGATTGATTGGTTGATTGACAAAAAGGAATTTTCAAAACAGAAGAAATGTACGTGTAGCATAATTTTTTAAATTTCTAACAATAGAAAAGATGTCTTAATAACTCTATCAAAAAAGATGTCTTGATAATTAAAGTGAGTTAAAGGCACAATCAACGAGGATTGGTCTAGTCTCATGAAATAAGCTAGTCCTTTACAACATGCCAAACCAATATTTGAATTCTTGTTGGAATAAATGCTAATATTTAGTATCCAACCGTTTCTCAAATAAAATTGTTTACAATAAAAGAATAGTTATGAACAATAAGAAAAAAGTAAGTTAAAAGGGATATACATATACTTAATTCTTAAATTCTGAGCTACTTATTAATGTTAAATTTCGAGTCACACACACATATTACTATTGATATCAATTAATAGTAAATTATGCATAAGTCTCTAACTTTTGGATTTAGTAAGTGACTTAAATATACTCACCCAATGAATGTTTCAATTATAATAATTGGATTTCATTAATACTTGAAAATTATCATAATATATTTTCCCGTGAAAATTCAAAATAACCCTCATGATTAGAATACTCCTCACACACATCATCCCTAAAAAAAAAAAAAACAGAGAGAGATTAGATGTTTTCTAAGTATCATATGACAAAATTTCTAATAGTCATTCAATTAAATCAAACAATTGTTATTGTGGCATGTAAGACAATAAGCATATTTGTGCCACTTATTGAATCTAAATGCATAAATTTTCTGTTATATATGTGGGTGCGCATGCAACTATGCACAAATAACTTCTTTTGACATTTAAAAATCCATAGTGAATACCTTGAACATTTTTAAATGCAATATGAAAGTAAGTCATTAACTTTGCCGATAAGGAGAATAAACTTTCACTTTTTCTCATATTTAAATGATATTTTTTAATTTGTATTACATTCTTTCTCATAATCAAAGAGTTTAAATATGAAATAATATTAAAAAAATGTAATTATGAGTATGATAAGAGGGAGTATGATTTTAAGTTTAACTCAAAACTCAAGTTAAGTAGTTCTTACCCTTTTCCCCATTTCTCTTGAAAATATTAAAAAAAAATCAAACTTTAACAAGGTTATACAAAATAGGGATAATACAATTGTTGGTCCTTTTACTATTATTATTATTTTTGTTGTTGTTGTTGTTGTTGCTTCAAGTCGGGTAAGTTTCGTGTATTTAAAATGTTAGTCTCTATATTTTTAAATATGATCATAAGGATATGGCTAATGTATACATAAACATTGTTACTTTTTATGTCCACTTGTTAAAATTATATTGAGTTGTATAAAAAAGACAAGCAAGACACTAAAACAAAATCTTTAATGCGCAATAGATGAAGCTTTCACTATGCTAGAAATGGACAAAAATGCCAGTTTAAAACCATCATTTATTAGGTTGTTATTTATTGTCCTCACCTTTATATGACAGGTAATTACCCATAATTTAATCAAGGAATAATTATGGTCAAATGTCCCCATCATATAAAAGTACACAAGGTATGGCATAAAACTAAAATACCAAGTGAATAAATGACAGGCATTCATAATAACCAATAAATGATGGGTATTCATAATATCCATCATTTATTCCCTTAAATATGATGGTTATTCAAATCAAGGATTCATGGATTCCCAACTTGAAATGACGGTGGCTAAGATTGGGAGGATGCGCAAATTAGTTAAGTCAATCCCTAAGTGTAGCTAGGGTGAAACATAGCCCATCTCCTTAGGAGCTAAGCCAAATTGATTGTGAGGATTCTGAAGTGCATACAAATTACCACAAGGTCTTTAAGTGTAGTGAATTTAAATTTAAAGTAAAACTAGAACTAGAAACTAATAACAAGACAAGGCAAGAAAAGTGTGTGTCTTCCCCTTTGAACGAACGTGGCTTCTAGGAATTAGATGGTGAAGAAATCATTATCCCAATTATTTAGTTGCTTTATTAATGCCTCTCATTGATCAATTACTAGCCTATGTTAATTAAACTTGACTTCCCTAATAAGTTATGTTCTACTTGTTCCAATAATTCATCAGTCCTAGTGTAGTTTCCCTAGTTAGCTCAATTATGCCAATGTGCATAATGTTATCCAACACCTTATTGAATAAGATGTTCTCTTAAAAAAAAAAACAACAATACCATTCATGTTGTTCCTTTAAGATATTTTATCAAACATCTTACATGCATAATGTCCAAACAATAAATCTAAACTCTAATATCCTCTAAACCTCATCCCAACATTTGATTTCAAGTCACAAAGACATAGAGAATTATCATGGGTTTTTGATTCTCGGCCTCCGTCATTTTCATGGGTGCTCGTGTGGATGAATTATTGGCTTCCATCATTCTCCTGGGTCCTCCTCTCTCTGTTTCTCTCTATTATTAGCTTCTCTTCTTTTTGAGATTGGTTCTTGCTTTTCCAATTATTAATCTTCAATTTGAATATGTGAGTTGTTGATTTTGACTAACATATCAATAAGTGGTTTTAATGTTGATTATTTGATCTCCATTGTTGTTCTTGTTAGCAGGTTTTTGAAATTGAGTTTTGGGTGCTTGTTGAGTGCTTGATAGTGATTGTTCTATAATTGAATGGTTATTTTAGATTTGTTATTCCTTGAGTTGTCAATTTTCATATTGCTAGTTTTTTGAATCGATTGGAAATTGGTTTATATAGAAATAATTTTGAAGTTTTAAGTTGATATATATAATGTTTAATGTAGTTTATATGATTTTAATTAAAATTTAGTTTCTTATTGATGTTATTATTATTGTTGTTGGATCATATATAGTCTTGTTATAGATAATTTGATTTTTCTAAAGGGATAAAGCCCTAGTAATACTCATTTTAAGTCATTATACTACCATTTTTTTAAAATTATTTTTAGGTATAACTTTATGTGATTTTTGTTACTATTGCTGTTGTTGCTGTTCTTATTAGGTTAATCAAGAGAGGGCTTAAAGCTTAGGAAATTCACTTTTTCAAGCTGCTATCTTGCCAGATTTTTCTCAACGGTTAGCATTAAAAAATAGTTACTAGTTTTAAACAAGATGAAAGAGGGAATGTGCAAATATATGGTTAGTGACTCATTGACTGATTGATACTTTGTATCTAACTCTCCCAATATGTAAGAGTAGTGAAAGTCATTAATCACATTTCCCTCTTGATCTTTTTAGGAATTATGAATAAGAAATGAATATTTGATAATAGTCTATCCAAGAAATATTGGGATGAGGTGGTAGATTTCATCAAGTTTGCAGTTAAGCATACGGAGGACCTTGCTAAGATTGTTTTCACGTATTTAAAGTATGACCTTGTGAAATGGGTTAGTGTAGATACTCATAAAGAACACTTAGTGACTAATAGGAAGGATCAAAGTTAAGTGTTAGACAATGCATAGTGAGACAAGGGATGATATTAGTTGTAGCTAGGAGCATAGTGAAAGTTGTGCGTCATGTCCTGATGATTTTGACACATGTGCACTCAAGAAAGATTGTCTCAAACAAATTGCTAAAGCGATTGAAGAGGGCATCAAGGATTTTCTGAAAATGTTTGAGAAGTTGAAAAGTGATGTGAACACACTAGTGTGTGCTAGTTGTAGTGCATCAAAGTTGTTAGCAGTGTTAAAATTCTACAACATGAAGGCACAACATGGATGGAGTGATACAAGCTTTACCGAGTTGCTTGGGCATTTAAAAGTAGAATTACTTTTTAAGGAGAATGGGCTTTCTTGCCAAACATATGACGCAAAACTAATACTACAATCAATTGGCATGAGTTATGAAAAGATATATGCATGCCTTAATGATTGCCTTTTATTTTGGAATGAATATGCCTTACTTTAGTTAGATAGCTATTAACTTGAATTTGTTGTTACTCTTTACATACAGTACTTTAAGGATGTCTACTATATTTGATATACACATCCATTTTTTTGACCAATTTTATGTCTTAGGCTACTTAGTTTTGAAATTTTAACTTGCAAATTAGGTAAAATTATAGATTTTTTTTTATGGTTTTGGGTTTGGGCATAGGAAGATGTAGGAAATTGAAGACATTTGGATAATAATTTTAATAATTCATTTATTTTTTATTGTTGGCTTGCTAGTATAAATATTTAATTACTTTGTATTTGCAGCAGCCCTCATTTAAAAAAAACACCATAAATACTGACGGTTATTAAAAATAACCATCATTATATGTTTACTTGACAGTTATTTTTAAATAACCGTCAAGTAGTTATTTCTAAATAACCATAAATTATTGTACTATACTTGATCGTTATTTAAAAATAACCAATTATTTTGGCAAACTACCAATTGTTTGGTTTTTCACTATCAAGTAATGAAGCACCATATATTTACTTGATAGTTAAAAACCGTCAAATATTTAAGACATTACTTGATGATTATTTTATAATAACTATCAAGTAAAATTTATACATTTTCCTTTATGGATTTTTTACTAGACTATATTGACAGTTATTTAAAAATAACCATCAAGTAATGTTTAAATACTTGACGGTTATTTATAAATAACCGTCAATTATTTTGGCAAACTACCGAACAATATTTGACTGGTTATTTTTAAGTAACCGTCAAGTATTTAAACATTACTTGATGGTTATTTTTAAATAACCGTCAAATATAGTCTAGTAAAAAAGTCATAAAAGAAAATGTATAA